GATTAGACATGCAAATGGTCCAGAACCAGCCTAAATAAAAAACAACATATCAGTATATATCTATGCTTACAATGTATCTTGCAGAGTCTACAGGATAGAACACCAGTTTCTGGGAAAGCCCCATTTTCTGTGTAGATTTGAAGTGTTGCTCATTCACAAAAAATACATCAAGAATGTTTTGGAACTCAGCCCTATGGCATAGCTCCAACAGATACCTGAGCATTTATTTTATTTATTCTATACTAAGAGAAAACTTATTCTATACTAAGCTCAAAGTTTTGCTTATTATGGCATTTCATTCTATTCCAATATTATAGAGTATTGGGTGGCTTAAAGTAAAGGAAGCCTGGGTCAGATCAAAGGTCTAATTCATGTGACATTTGTAACATTAGCCTGCATCAGGTGCCTTAAAGAAGATAAAGGCAAGCAAATGGGTGTGAGTGGATGCCTCCATCTGCACACATATGAAGAGTACATCACTTGCCGAGCTGGTAAAACAGTCCAATGCACCACATTTAAATAAATTTGCTCTGTGAACTCTGACTCAGGAAAGGGTTGGTGGTGTCTGTTCCACCAGGAATAAGAATAATAATTAGCAATCTCTAATTTCTTTACAAGCTCACGATGATTTGAGGAGTCTTCTTCATAAAAGGGGAAATTCTCCTGTGAACACAATTATGAAAGTTAACCGACCTCGAGGAAGGCTTAAGCTTGAAAGTAATCAGAACCCCAGGGAGATCTCTGCAACACAGAGAAGGTTTAAGTACCCAAGTCCAAGTCCATCCTGTAGATGTTGGCAAAAATCTACTAGCTTTCAGAAATTAAAATCTCATACGACTACCATCTATGCACATCATTTCTAAACTAACCATCAAAAACTTTCTCTAATCCCAAAAATTTTAGATTGTGATTTCCTCAATGCAATGTACAGCAATTCCTTACAGCAATGTACAATGAAAAGGGATACTTTATAAAGCAGACTGCTATGTACTACTGCAATACAATAAATGTTCAAATTTACATATATGCATTTCTTTACATGTAGATTTCTATCAAATTTTCCTTCTACTTTCACTTCTCCCCTAGTTCCCTCTATATTTTGAATCTGAAGGGATGACAGGAAAAAAGTAGAAATAGTTATTCTGAAACCCAGTGTTTTGATACTAAATGTAGAATTTTTTCAATATAATCTAGGAGTAGAAAGAAGCAGGCTTTTATGATCACAAACTTATGAAGTACCTCTTTTTAATGCTGTATTACAGCAATAAATGCTTTGAAATAGACATATAAAAATAATAATCCACTGCTATATTGTGACAGTCCTATTCATCAGCTACAGTTTTGTTGTCTTCATGCAATTAAAGTTACCAGCTGTGTAAACATATTCTTTGCAACAATTCAACAAACTTGCAGTGTTAACAGAAAAAAATCATGGCCATAGTTACAAATCTGAGTAATTTTTCTCCACAGAAGATAGTATTCCATGAAACTCTTTATCTTTGGTCATAAAATGTTATCTTATTATTTCAAATAGTAGTTTGCTACTTTATTAATGAATAAGATGATAATTTCTCTATTTAGAAAGTCCCCCATCTCCTTGATCACTTCAGTGTCTTTTTTTTCAAGGTGGTATTTCAAATGCACTATACTTGTGGGTGAGAAGGACTTTGGAGATATTTCTGTTCCCAGAAAATAGTGTTAGGCAATTCCAGTTATCCAAGAAACAGAAGAGAGCAGTCTTTAGAAGATGGAAACATATGAAAACAAAAAAGACTACAGACAAAAGCATTTTTCCTGTTCCTAAGTAGGAACAGGAAAATGTTCAGACAGTAATTATTGTGGTCAGTGAAGCAGTGCAGATTACCAAATTGTATCAGAGAAAAGATGCACCAACACATACATACATACATACATACAACTTGGCTGTATGTACTGCATCTTGGCTGTATGTTACAGGCCAGTGCAAGACAGGAAAGAAGGGGTTTAAAAACTATTGAGTTTTCAGCATTTTCCAAGTACTGAAGACATCATGATATGTCTAAACAATTTCAGCACTATATAGAAGTAACCTCATTTCAAAACATCCCTTTCATTTTGAAGTTTGAAAACATCTTTTGTTTGTGTGAGTGTATACACAGTGATTTTATGAGGGACAAAATCATATTTAGACCATTCACTATCAATGTCTAAATTTTGCCTGATGCTCAGTTGGCACATGCAGAAAAGGACACAAAACCCTTCCTCCAAGTCCTCCTCTGCTCCATGCGAGTCTCATTCCCAGTGCCAGGGCTAAATAACCCACTCTGCTAAGCACTCCCGCTAAGGCTCCTTGGGTACTCTCCAGGGTAAATCCACACCCCAAACAGGAGGACAGAGAGAGAAGCAAGTTTGTCCAAGGTTTAATCCAGTTGCAGCAGGAGGCAGGAGAGCAGGGTATACAAGCCCTAGAGAAAAGTCAGAAACAAAGAGAGGCTTTCCAGTCTGCAAAGAAGCCTGTGCCCCTACACCCGCCTGCCATGGTAAGGATCAGAGCTAGATTAAAGCTGGCCAGCTACGAGTTATCTTCGTTCCAGTCACTCCTGATTGATGGAAGGGGCTATTTGCAGACTGAGCATCAGCACCATTCTTCAGATTCACTGTAGCTATTGGCTGGCACCAACACAGGTCATTGCCTACAAGGCAATCTGACCTCAAACACTTTCAGTTTAACATTAAATAATTAATCTGTCTGAAGGAGCAAATTTTGTGTTTCTGTGTGCATGTGGAACAGATTACAGTAAAATCGAAAAGCAGAAGTACAGCTTTTTTACACAATGGGTTTGTCCCCAGGGAAATAAAACACATTTTCTCAGCAGGTGTTAAAATGAATTTGCTCAGAAGCCCCTTCATGAGAAAATCCTATTAAATTCACTGCTTTCACATCTTTGCTTACCACACAGTACATGCCTACACATACAGCCTGTTTCCTCCAGTAAGACTACAGACAAACCTAAACCCCTAACAATTGAATTGAATTTTCAAATGCATCTCCTACTACTAGTGCTATATGAAAAACTTTTAACATGCCATTTAGTGTCCAAAGTGATAACAGATTAAGGCTTTAAGATTTCTAGGGCAGTTGCTAGGAAACTTCCAAAATTAATACTGTGGCACTGAACCATTTTACTCACAGTGAGGAGACTAAAACTGAAAATTAGTATTATTTAAAAGTACTTAGGACAGAGAAGTACCTCCCTCTCATCTGCTAAGATACAAGTAAATGCCCACGTGTAATTTTTCCTGTAAAAGTAGTGTTTTCTAGTTTAAAACAGCTTCTATGCATCCTGAAATTGAAAAAATCCATTTAAATAGACTAGTTAATGAGTCTGAGAGCAACGCTTGGAAAAAACAGAGATGTGATATTTTAAACATGAAGCAGCAGTGTTCCCCCTTTTTATAGCCATTCGTAAGTAGTAAATACAGATAATGTCTTGACACATCATGTTCCATAACCTCATGGTTTCTGAATAGCAGCCATGGAACGCTGAATGGTAAGTTAAGTAGGCAGTGTTATCAGCCAAAATAGAAATCAAGGGGAAACAAAACTATGTCTAAATTGGCATAGTTTTAAACAATAGCTTGAGTGCTCTTTTGGCCTGGTACCCAGTCCTGCAAATTTGCATTCAGACCCATATGATCAAGCACAGAATCCTCCCAAGCAGCATGTGACAGTCTACTGCTAACTCTCCATTTCCCCTCTGCTCTTCATCTGCACAGCATATTGCTGGTATGTCTTCCTACAGACATTCCGAAAGCAGAAGAGATCAAATACATACAGAATACTTTAAAATAGCAGGCTTTAGGACAAGTTCAAGTCCCCAACATGGTTACAGTTAGCAGTTCTGATTCAGGTGGTATGAATTTGGGCTGTTTTCCAATTCAGATGTAGGTGGTATCCATTTGGGCTATTTTCACTGTATTTCCATAGCCTCAAAAAACAGACCTGTAGCAATCATTTACTGACTTTCATGTAAACACAGACTGATCAAGCCAAATTCCTGTTACTGACCAACCACATTTATATTCACATTACACTGCTTCCATGGTTGGAGTTCTCACCTTTAGTGCTATCCCAGTAGTATCATGAAGTCAAGAGCTCAAGCAGTAGACACAAATTTTAAATAGAAATCCTTTAAATAGAGAAGAAATACTCTTAGAAGCAATTATCAGAGGCTGAGAGAGATTTAAGACAGCATGTAGATATAGGCAGGGAAAAGGACCTCTGATCGAGATGAAATACAAGACCTCAAGACCTCAAATAAAATCAGGTATTTTGAAGTGAATTTTCAATCGTTTTGCATATTGCTCAGGAAAGCCTACATTGCTGCCCTATTTTCTTCAAGGAAAAGCCAAGCAAAAGCTCACAAAGCTGTCTCGTAGAGTAAAACCTGCAACATCCTGTGGTTCCCCACACTCCACAGAAGTGGGGAAGTCAAAATGAAAAAATACGCTAACCACTTGGCAAGGGAGGTTGTACATAAAATCCACTTGAAGAATTCTTTCCTATGCAGAACAGTTGCATCCTTGACTTCTGAGTAGCTCTAAGAAAAACTTTTGGCACAATCCTCTCTATTAACACTGGAGACAAAATTTTGCTAATTGAGAAGGGGTTAAGAAATGGGTTTTCTAGCATGACTGAGAGAAAAAGTAAGTCTTATTGAAACCTCATTATCAAACCAATTGCTTACTTCAAACCATGTTTCTCAGCTGTTTTATATACATTGAGTGCACTAGACTGAATCTATGAGCATTAATGTATTCTGTAAAAAACAGCTTCTTGAAATAGTCATGCATAGTTCAGTGAGATCACGTGATGCAGCACTGTCTCCTCAAAGCATTAAAAATAAATAAACATTAAAAAGATTTCGTGTAAATTGATATTTTAAACTAAACTATTGCAGAAATCTGCAAAAGTTCTTTTATTCACCTTCTCATTGTTAAATTTTTATGCCACACGATACAGTTTACAAATATCTGCTTTTTATTTCAATTATGTGAAATCCTAGAAGTTCAGAAAGGGCAACTGAGAGCCAAGGCTGTACCTGTGCACTCGGCTTGGACTTTTCACACTCATTCCTCCAGCTTGGTTTCCCATCTGTCCTGTGTGCCACAGCTCCTGCCTGGAACACATTCCTAGAGTTTCTTGTCATGCAGAAGAAACTATGGGCAAATGCGGTTGTATCAGTGACCCTTGCCCTGCTCTGCAGTCAGGATGTGGCTTTGGCTGCCAAACCAGATCAGGAACTCCAAAAGAGTTTTTAAACAGGCCCTTAGGTTCCCTAGACTTAACATAGTCACAATCTGTAATCCAAATTAAGACAATGGCATTAACAGTCTCCATAAAAAGGTGTTAGCATCAAATCTTATTAATTTAAAATAAAGACACATACAGCTGATATCTGATATAATATTAACATTGTAATATGAGTATTAGTAGCTTGAGCAGGAATCCCTGACAAACCTAAAATCATCATACAAGCCATGTACTGGAAGCTATTAAACTAGAGAGCATTAATTTTAGTGGAAATCACAAAAAGAAGTCATAAAAAGTGTCGAGGGAGAAACCTTCAGCCAGGAGAAACCACCAGCCATGTCAGTGATAGCAATAAAACTTTGGATTTTGCCTAAAGATTTCTCTACAACAATTTGCTCTGTATCAAGATGCATGTTCTGATCTAGGTACAACACTTACCAATGACCAAAATGTTTCAGACAAGCTTGTTTCTGTGCTACAGGAGTTTTTGGTCTACTTAGAGATGGAAAGTCAAGCTATAAATTATCTTAACAACAGGGTACAGAAAACTGGAGCCCTGAATAAACAGGAAATATCTGGGAATTGACAGCAAATTTTGACCAAATGAAGGTAGAATACTCAGAATCTCAGACAGAGCTTGTTCCACAGAGTTTTGCTTTGACCATGCCTCGATGACATCACAGCTCTTAAATAGAAAACGGAACATGCCACCGGAGTGAGGCAGCATGTACAAGGAATGATCCGGTGGGAAGTGAACAGCAGAAAATAGCAGAGGGGATAAAAAATAATTTTAGTTTCTGAACATACAACATTAAAAAGTTGCTTTTAAAAATCTTTTTTATTTATGAGAATAAATAGAGAATTACACAGTCATACTGGTTGAGGATCAGAGAGACAAACCCAGACTAAGCCACAACATTTGTGGTGATGAGGAAATAATGTTGCAACAGTCAGTGAGTGGCATTTAGGAAATCTGTCCAAGCATTTAGAAGGCCTTTCCAAAATTTCAATGACATTTTGAGCATCAAAAAGAAAAATAAGAAAGCATGCATGTTCTGGTAACCATCCTGCCGAGGGAATTTACTGGCAAATCCTGTATTACCTGTGTAAGGTAATGGTAGCAGGAATTTATTTTTTATCTCTTGTAGCCATATACAGGAAAACAAACTTAGAGGCTATCACAAAACCAGCAGAGTCTGTGTGAATGTGGTTCTTAAAACATTAGATAAGAAAACACCAGTTAGGTAAAGGGCTTGAATGATGATGCTCCAGAAGACCATGCAGAGTGGTCTTCAAAGTGATCTTCCCAGGTGGGAACACATCTGCAAAAGAACCTTATTTAAGACATCAAGAGGTATTCTCCCAGGACACCATCATGCCCCACACTCCTGGGATGTGTCCCTCAGGCTGGTTCAGGCTGCCAGGCCATGTCTCAGTAGGCAGCAGCATTTGCCAGACAGTGACCATTGTGTCTCACACTGGTCCCATTGGCCCCAGATGTGCCAGGGACCATGGAGGTCGCACAGGCATTCCTCAAAACATGGTCCTCTACCAAGACCAGCACCCGTGGCTGGGGAGGAGGGTTTTGCGTTAACCATCACTATTGTCAAGATGTCACCCACACGGTAAAACAAATCCCAGTTCCTCTTTGGCATTCTCCAAACAAACATATTAGGTCAAAGAGGGACAGTTACTGAGGCAACAATTACAAAAATAGCATGACATTATGTTTGCTGCGTGGCTCAAACCTGCCACTGCCTCCAGGCTCCCAGGGTTCCTGAAAAGGAAGGCAGGGTATTTCCTCAAGAGGGAATTAGTAAGACCTTACCTCAGAGGATCTACAGAGGCATCGTTTTTGGGTGGTGAGTAACGCTGGAGGGATGGAGGAACTGCTGCCACTCACCTGTCCCATCCCTGGTGCAGGTCTTCAGGGCCCTTCTTGCCAGCTGCATGTGGTGGTTTGTTCCTCTCAGTATGGACTATACAAAAACCACAGGCAGGACCAGAAGTTTGGACTCTGAAACCACCATCTGGGCAAAAGAAGAGGCAGAGGGTTGTGTGGAGGGGCTTGGAGATGTTCTTTTTATGTAAGGTTTTTCTCTAGTGGCTTTCCAACCTTGTTGATCCAAGTTTTCTCAACACTATGGCAGATGGTCAGATAGACTGATTTGGTGGCAGACCAGAAAGAGCTAAGCAGGCTGTAGTAAAGTTCTAGTGAGGCTACACTCAGATGCAAATGTAATTTGTACCAGAGTAATTTTCTGGTAAGGCTACACTTAGATCCAGATTAGATGCAGATGTTTTTGATGCATGTACACATTTTAAATGGGGAAAAAGAGGAATTTCACTGTAACTTGATAGGCTTTGTTTGGCATTTGGGGGACAATGGCTTCCTTCTCTTAATTTCAGCACTTTGCCTGCACTTGACTCTCCACTGGTTTCCTAGGAACATTATATTCCAAGGCAGCAACAAGAAATTACTCTCTCAGATGCCTTGGATTTAAGATAACTGTGGGACACTGGATCCTGTATATGCTCTTTGGGGGTAAAGGGCCTAATTTATTCTTAGCCCATGTTCTGAGTGAGTAAAGAGAGACTATCTAGGCCACATCCCCTGCTACTAGTAACCTCTGCTAATTCTAGGCCAGGACTACTTTGTCCTCAAGAAAAACCCCCATCAGTGTGTCTTGCTACATGTGCATATAAAGGAAGGCAAGATATGCCAGGGCTGTGAGGACAAGCATTTACCTCCTTTACCTGTACTGCTTTCCAGACAAGTAAAAACAAGCCCTGATGGAGCAGTAGGATAGGGGTTGGTGGGATAGGGGTTCTACAAACTGTTTATAGATATTAAAGCAAAGCAGGACTGTGCACTGGGCCATGTGTGTGCATGGCAGAAGCAAGCAGGCTAAAGTATAACCAGTGGACAGGCCCCACAGCAGGTGCCACAAATTCTCATGAGCAATTTTTAAGCAATGGAGACTTTCTTAGGAGTAATTTCTTGGCAGCAGTACCAGTCTAAGCAGTCACACATCCTATTCCTCCCACCCCATGCTGCACCCTAACAAACATCTATGCACTGAATCAAATCAAGCCCCGAGCACACAGGACTTAGGGACTGCACTGAGCATGAGGCACCAGCAGCAGCCCCTTCCTGGGAGCAGCGAGGTGACAGCACTACAAAGACAGGAGTGAAAGCCCTCCCCACTGGGCACTGCAGAGCATTAAAACTAAACCTGTAAACTGCTGGGTCAGGAAGAAATCAGGCAAAACCAGCACAGCAGTGCAAATGACAGGCTGCCTCCAATGATCTCAAAGGGAAGCCGTCTGGAATTTCTGCAACAGTCAGTGAGGAGGTTACTGTGTAAGAGAAATCACTGCCTGAGCCCTCTGAGCAAATCTCATATTCTGATACATGTTTTAGATATAGCAGAAAGACTATACAAGCAAAATTACATTATTCCTTAAAGGCCACAGACTTCATGAGATACCCCAAAAAGGGCAATTTTTTCACTATGGGATTTCCCTAGAGAAATACTGTATGTAGATATCGAGTGACTTCCATACTGAACGCTCAGAGACCAAAAATGTCAGCCGTGCCAAGGTCAGAGCAATACTATTATCAGACACAACTTGTGGCAGGCTGTTTCCTCATAACCATCTGCACTAACCAGGAAAGTTTGGTTTACTGCTAGATTTTCACAAGAAAAAGAAAAAAGTCAGTACAATCTTGGGAGGAGGCACATGCATGTGAAAATCTAACCTAAGTGGCAATGAGAATCTCCCTAAGAAGTAACTTTGGGTGTGCTGAAAACACACTGTGCTTATCAGAACATACTAACATGACACAGATGTACATTCTTAAATAAAACAATAGGTTTCCTGCCTAGAGCACTCTGGCTTATAAACTAAGCTACCGACAGGCCAAAGATACAGAAGGAAAGTAACAAGACTCATCAACTAAAGGTGCAGAATCCAAATTAATCAGCACTTCAGGATAAAGACTAAACATTAATACCTGCTTACATTGCCCCTGAAAATCAACCAGTTGCCTATAAAGCTCATGATTTAAAAAGGAAAAAAATATGGCTGAGCCCAAGATTAAGCAAAAAAATCCCAAACCTCTGAGATACCAGAGCCATAGAACACAGATCAGCTGTCTGTATTTTGGGTGAGAACAGCCTGGTCCAGTGGTCTTGGAGGATCATCATTTGCTCCTGCCTTAGTTTAAAGATTTAAAGTTTAGAGGTTTAAAAGTTTAAAGGTGAGGAAAGTTTTTTCCTCTTACAGCTATATCCGAAAGATGGGGGTAATAGGATGGTTTTGTCTAGCTTTGCTAGAGAGCCTCTGGGAAGGGAGAAGTTCCCACGGCAGCATGTTCCTACCTGTCGCACATCTTCACCAGGAAGCGCAGAGTAGGAGAGGGAAGCCTGCATTGTCCCCCGCAGCCTGCAAAGTCACCTGGGGCTGGAGGCGCGGCTAGGAGGGGGTTAGCCGGCCCTGCCCCAGCCCGCTGAAGCTGAGCTAAACGCAACCAGCTGCACACCGGGGCAGCCGAGCAGCCGGCACACCTTTCCCTGAGGCAGAGGCAGTGCCCTCCCTAGGGCACTTCAGCAGGTCTAGAGGGAGGAGCAGAGTACAGGGGCCTTTCCTATTTCTGAAGACTCCACATTGGCTGCCGGTACCGCAGCCACCTGTGCGCGCCGCCGGACAAGGGGGCGGGCGTTGGGGCCGGGAGGGGCTGGCCTGAGCTCCCCGAGCACCGGATCCCTCCTCTATCAGTGCCTGCGGGTAGGACGGGGAGAGGTTTCGGCAGCCCGGTACGACGGCGGCCGCGACTTAACCCAGCCGAGGCAGTAATCGGACAAGTTTCCGCCGCGCCCGAGCACGGCGGTAGGAGGGAGCCCAGTCGAGCCCGACAGAGGGGGCGGCCGCGCCGGCAGGTGCCGGGTTGGGGCGATACAGCGTGTCCCGGCGAGTGCCGGAGCAGCGCGGAGCATGGACAAGCTCAACAAGCTGACTGTGCCGGCCGGGGAAAAGCTCAGGTAGGGTCCGGTCAACCTTGGTCTCTTCCATGAGTAGCGAGCGGGGGCTTGGAGCTGGGCGGGGGGCCTGGGGTGTGACGGGGAACCTCGTTCTGCACCGGGATAGGGAGGCTCAGAGGCACGAGGAAGTTGTTAGAAGTCTTAGAGTAAAACGGAGTTACTTCTGGTCTCTAGGTTGGTATAGGGAAGCGTGGAAGGTAAATACAGGTCTGGAGCCATTAATCGGATGCGGCTTTCAAAGCAAACTGTGTCTGCTTCATCTGCAGGGAAAAGGTGAATATTTTTAAAGTGTCTGTCTTCAAAGCTATGAGAAGACAGTCTTTGGCTGACTAAGATGTATGAGCCTCATGCAAATTAGAAAAATTTAATTAATTGCTTGATGGTTTAATCAGAGTGGCCTGTGAAGATGGATTTTGCAGTTAAGTTGCATAATATTTTCTAATCTTCGAAAGAACTGGTATAATAGAGGGAACTGGAAAACGGGAAATGTTCCTAAGTGACGGAGAACAATGTTAAATACAGGGTTTGAGAGGAAAAAAACAGAAGCTGACCATTACTGAAGTATTTTTAGTGTGACTTGATTGGTGTGCTGGTGGAGTTGGCACCTCAAGGCTCTTTCATCGTGATTTTTTTTTCTGAATAGTTAAAATAAGCCCTGTTTCAGACTGAAGCAGCATCCAAACTTCTTCCACTGGAAAATAAGAATGAAATACAGAAGAAAAAAATTTCCTAAAAAACCCTCATACTTAAGTACTTGATACAAATTTATAAGCCATTCTCAAGTCTCCTCTCCCCAGAAGCCTTAATGCAAATCAGAATAATCCCTTGTAAAGCTAATTCTGATGGAATGGCATTTTGTTATATCTACTCTTTCCAGTTTGTTGAAATACTGGCAGGGAATTGGGGGATACCTGAAGAGCAGCAATAACCCTCATATCATATTCCTTAGCCAGGCACACATAATAAAACCCTAGCAGACTGCAACCTACAGCCCATAGAAGAACTCTGTGGAAGGCTCAATGGACAGGGGGAAGAACACAGCAAATTTCTTCACTGTCTGCAATTTACCACCTTAAAATAGTCTAAAAATATCTAAAAATAGTGTTCAGAGCTGGTCTGAACTGTCTATCTCAAGATAATAAGCTGAGTGATACGGTGGCAAGCTTGTACACAGTTACTGGTGCATAAAGAAATAAAACACTTTCTGCTGCGATAAAATTGTAGCTGCATCTTTTGTGCCTTTGCAAATTATTAAAGCAGGATTACTTTCAAGTATACAGAAGATGATCTACATGTGAAGGTTATAATAGTACAAAACTTGCAAACTGATTCAGAAGCCCTAAACCAGAAAGGCAGCCATCACACCCCTGCTGCATCTTTACATTGGCTGACACTCTTCATCTTGTCTGAGGTTTTAATATTGTTGTAAAACGAGGAAGAGGAAGAGGTAGCTCTGCTTTTTTGTATTACCTTGAAGTATTAAAAGGTACTTTTTCTCTCTTTCTCAAGGCCAATTCACTCTAGTTGTGCAAGGAACATATGAGCGCGCGTTTCTTAAGTGTGACTGTTCTCACTACACATGATGGAAATGCATGTATGCTTCTATTTGAGCACATCGAAACACCTCCTTAGACAGAAACCTGGGTGTTTGGCTACACAGTCTTATTACACCATCAGGCTTTAAGAAACTTAAGACAGAACTGTCTGTGAGTACATATTCATAGCATACATTTAGGAGAGATGTGCAAATTTAGGAAGAAACCAGCATAACATGGTGGCAGCCTTTTCTTCTTTGAAACAGCTGAATACCTCCTTGTGCTACATGACTTGTTGACAGTGCAGTTGACTTCCTAATATAGCCTCTTGTCTGCATGGAAGATACATAGATGGTTCAGAGTTTGTCCTGAATGTTACGCGAACGAAATGGCTGCATTAGAAACCTACCTTCCTCTATATGCTCAGATGCAATGCCAAGAAATATTCCTACCAAGTATGGTTTCAATTGGTGTAATTATAGTTCACTTTTTTCTAAAGACAGCTTTCTTAAAAATTCCGCTTTATAGCAGCAAAAAATTAAAGTAGCACTGCTCGAGTCAGCATCTGAGCGCAGAGCTTTTGATTTTTTTAACTATAGACCTGAAAAGCTAGATATTATGTGGTTTTGCTACGCTCATCTGTTCTCCATGGTTATATTTGAGCCTACCAGATCTAGCTTTTTGTTGCATTATCAAGTCTTATGTCAGATCTGAATTCTTAACATATTCTGTTTGTTTGTTATTGCAACAATAACAACTGTTCAGTGTTTCTATGCACCCCTTTAGCTACCATGTTGTGGTATGGATGTTTACTGCAGTTAAGTCACTCAATTAACTTTAACATCAGTTAGATAGGAATGTTGGAACTTCTTGGAATTCTAGTATTATTTTTATATAGTGTTTGTTATAAGGCATGCACAGTATTATAGAAGTTTTCCTCAGAGTACATTGTGTGTTCTAATTGCTTCCATACAGTCAGGAAAAAATGAATTCCAAAGGTTGTTTATTTATCATAAGAAATTGATTTGTGATGCATGCAAGTAATTCTGTATTTTGAATGGTTTTCTAAAGTGTGGAGTGAATACATGAGCAATAGCCATGCTGCCATGGCAGGCTCTCATGTGCCTTGATTTCAGCAGAAACAGGAAGTTAGCAACTCAAAAGAATCAGCATTAAACGTTTGCAGTTCAGCTTCTTGGACTATGAGCCTATAATTCTTTGTCTTTAAATAATTTCTAGCTACTATATACTATTATGTTACAGCATCTCATTTCAAACGCATCATTACCATCACCACTACTGTGATGGGCAAACCATGGCATGAAGCAGAAGTCTACCACACATTTTCACTTGCCCAAGGTCATGCAGCCAACGACTTCCACATTGCAAAGACTTGCTGAAGAGGACAGTTTCATGTTCATTTCAGATGGCTTCATTAATTTGCCGTAGTTCTTCCTTCTCTCTCCCTTCACCCCAAAAATAACCCAGACCCTTAAAATCACTATTTCCAACCTTAACTCCCAAATAAAAAGCAAGTGGGAAAAAAAGCAACTGACTTTTTTTGCTCAGGTTGGACAAGTGTGACAGTTAATTTGCAATATTTTGTTTTAACATCCCTTGCTAAATAGGAGGATTAAGTCCTAATTCTATTAAAATCAAGAGGAGTTTCTTTAAGGCCTGAATACCTGTTAGTTGTCCATCAAATCTGAAGATAGTTACGGTCTTCACTAATTTTCTACTGACAGAGGGCTTGACTATAACTGCTAGGTCTTTACCAGATTTTCTGGTACCATTTCCTCTTGAAAGTGTATTAGCAGAAAATGAATTCGTTTGGGAATCAGATTATATTTAACTGTAAATTGACATCTTCTATGTGCAGGACATTTTAGCATAGTGAATGTTTAATTTAGAGAAAATGAATGGGGAATAACTGAGCATTAGTCTTCCACTGCGAGAAAATTTACAGTATTATATTAGTATTACAGTAGTTTTACTAACCCCTATTAATAGTTAATTGTAGCAAGCAAACACAGAAACTGAATCTTTTTTCAAATCAGATTTTAACATCATTTATTGTATCAAGGGACTTGAACAAGACAAAAATAAACTCAAGCAGGAAAGAAACTGGAGTTTCAAAGTAAGCTAGAGAATGCTCCCTATGACTGGGCACCTGGGCACCAAAGTCCACATACAGCTTTAACATCTTTTCCCCTTTTTAGTTACATAGACTTCAGAGGATAGGCTGATCAAATGCCCAGTTACTTAAACACTGCTCAGTAGCCTAAAGACCCACATGAGAACTATTCCATGTACAAGATTTTTCCAGACCAACCCCTTGTAGTTGCTATCTCTTCTTCACAAGTCATGGCTCTCTTAATTCTGCTCTTCTACCTGCTCTGTTCTCTTTCTAGCAAAAGTCTAATCTGCCTCCAGAACGTAACAGCCATGAGGTTCTTCTGGGATATGACCCACCGCTACCTCCAGCAGCCTTCTGTCTCAGTTTCCAGTTTCTCCTGTCAACTTTCCACTGTGCAGTAACTCTTTGTCAACAGCAGCTTTTGTGGCTACATTTTAGCCCAACAAAACGTAGACTGAATGTAAGGTCACATGAAATCGGTGCCAATGGCATGCAGTCTTTAAAGCTGGCTTCCACAGGCATGGAGGGAAAGGAGGCCACCAGTTATGTTTGCCCATGCTAGTGAGTAAAAATGAAAGTTCTTTCTGTAGGATTCTTAGGTCTAGTTTGTCATTAAAAGCATGGGATTTTGATTAAATGATAAAGCTGTATAATCTCTATTTCCTCTAGCTTTCTGTCAGCTTAAACTGTTTATTAATCTCTCTCACCTCTGGACTTTGGAATGGAATGAGTTACGAAATGCAAACTTCCCCAAATACCACTGTAAAACCCCCTTTCACCCCCAGTATGACTTCTCTAGCCATCTCCTGTTGTTTCTCTCTGACCTTGCTTCAGCATAGCATAGCCCCCACCCTGTGTTCTCCTTTTTCCCT